AGATTCTATCTGGAAAGCGTTTTCATTCCCTTTCTGTATTGGGTTCAGCTGTGTTACAGTGTCTCAAGATTATACCTTTTTTTGGAGTTTAGAAGCGCGTTCCAAAGCTGGATAAAACGACTTCGAAGATGTATTGAAGTAAAGGGTGATTATTTTGACGGGATGTAAAAAAAAAACAGAAAAGAATCATATTTTATTTCTTACTTTATTAAAGAAGTCTTACTTTTTAATGAATAGCCCTCGTACAATTTTCAGAAAAATACGAATGAATTAGTTTTTACACATGAAAAATAAAATATGTTTTTATTTTTTTTATATCTAGTATTAAATTGATTGAATCTGAGTTTTCTAAGTTATGATTTACCTAACTCTGGCAATACTGATCATATATACTTTGTTATTTTACCTCTACTGTAATTACTCTGTATAAATTTAATACCATAAAACCGTCTATTTCTCCGAGAAGAGGACTACTCCCTGGAAAATCAGAGCTACTCCCTGGGACTACTCTCTCATGAATATTTATTAGTAATTTTAACCAATCAAAGTGTTAAGTTGGCGGAGCGTTCAAGGAGTCGCAAGTCTGTGACGTCATGTTATTAGCAATGTAACTATGACGTCAAAACATTTTGACATGCCATGCCAAAATCATAATGACGTTGCGCACGGTGTTGGTGTCAGTTTCGGTAACGTCAAAATGACGTTATTTTACGCTAAGTTCTAGAAAATTAATTTGACGTTGCTTTTAAATAAAAACCCAGTAATACCGCCAATTACATGTATATAGTGCAATTCATTGAAAACACATGTAATTAAACTCTCAACTGTAAGTAGTTCAGTGTAGATATAAAATACATCATATAAATTATTTTGTTATTTTTCCAATATTTGTTAGATGGGTCTCGACTAAAGTTAAATTGTTTTCATAATTTTATAAACTTGGCTTTATTTAATATTTTTGAGTTAATCTTGATTAATCCCGGGATTAAATTGAAATTCTCTTCTGGTCGGGTATCATCATGATCTGTCTGACAAAGTATCATATGCATTTGTATTTTACTAATGTTTCTCCTCATATATAGTCTACATGAAAATGATTAAAATGTGTCTGTTTCAATCAGAAAATAGCTTTAAGTTTCAGAAAAATCCCAAAGGGAAATGGATATTATACGTGGCCGTACTTCGATGCAGATATTTTAGGTCTAAACTCTCTCTGCCCTTTTGCATGCATGTTGCGTGTGGAAAATATAAGCATGAGTTTTCTCATAATTATTTAAAAAAAAACCTGTGTAGAAATAAAATAACTTGTTCGGCATCGCATTTTAAATTGATGTGATTTCAATTCAATAGAGATTAATTCGAAACCATTCTATGTCATATATCAGTAGGCCCTCGAACCTGTCCTTTCTTTACAGTAAAGTACCTATTCCCATTCCATCTTTAGCCATCACATAGACCCTTACATACCGAGTACTTTTCTCTTACAGTAGTATAGATCTTAATATTTAAAATAATTCAATTTAAAAAAAGGAGGAATCGAACTTGAGAATCGACCCCTCCCTCTCCCTCACTTTTAGTTTGAGTTTAATTAGAGGTTTCAGTTGCATTTATTCGAAAAATATTTCAGTTTTCTCCTGCCCCCCCCCCCCCCCCCCTTAATACGTACCTAGCTCACTGATCAATGATCGAAGGTTTCCTGCTTCTTTGGATACCCATGCAGTTTACCTGTTTTAATTTGATTGTGTGCCCTTTCCATGCTTATAAATGGAAAGAAAGAGTGTTTCAAAGAGCGTTTCGCATATGCTTTCATCAAGATTTATTTTTAAATAATTATTTGATGTTGATGTTGAGGATTTTTGGTGACGGCGGGGTCAGATTTTAATCAGATTGAGGCGATTGTATAAAGGTGTTATCCTATCCCTAAACTAGATTTTTGTTCAAATAAATGGTTACTTGGTACTATTTTGGTCGCTTAAAATGAGTTAAAAGGCTTTTTAATAATAATAAGAAAAAAATGAAACATAACTAAAACAATTATGAAAAATGAGAGACCCATTGCTTATAACCAAGTATATAAATGAAAAACAGATATTTTTAATTGAAAGAAATAAGGTAATATAGCCGATCTCGCCTTACCCTGTTTCCAAATGTCGGCAATTCATATGTAAATTTATATACCTATTTTTTGTTTAAACAAAAAAAAAAAAAGTTTTTTTCATTTCATACGATTCTACAGAGTAAATGACAAAAAGAACTATAATTGTAGTGAAAATCTGATGCTTAATCTAAATCACAACCTCCGACAACTCCTATAGCCCTTATCCAGTATTGGACTATTCAAAGTACACTCGCCATGTAGAACAGTTTATAACAGCATCAAATAGAGTTGACACACTTTACTGTCAGCTTATTCAAATTGGAATTCATAATCCCATATAATAATGTAACTATATATCCTTGTACTATTCAGAGTCCGTATTAAGACACAAGAAAAAAAATCACACAAACCAAAATTTATGTAAGGATATGATTTCGGACTCTGAATGGTACAAGGATATATAGTTACAGTATATACATGCTGTATACTACAGTATACACTGCACATGTCTTACTTATATATATATATAAATACAACTTTCAAAACTTAGAGTTATTCTTAAATTCAATCATTATTGGTACATTTTTCTTTTATCCATATCAGGCTCATTAGCAATAAGAGCAAGTCTATTTGGCAAATTATCTTTTGACGCTTTAGGTTACGTAATGCATTTTTAAAACGTAATAACATCAAAACGGCAAATTTTTACGTGTGTGACATTTATGTTGAGTTTTATATTTTGTTAGGATTTTGTCACAATTCCATTGAAAATTATTTTGGAATATACTAATAACTTTTTGAAAAGATGCACATTTCATAAAAATCTTCTAATTTTCAATATGTCTATTTTCAATGACTATACATATGGTTTATATTACCACATTTATACAATTATAGTTATATTTATTACTTTTGGACAATGTGTGACATTTATGTTGACTTTGTAAAAAACCTGTAAAACAAGCACTGCTTTATAGAATCAATTCATTTTCATATCTAAATAAAGTTTTGATTTTGCACATTTTGAATTAAATGTCGTTTGGTGCCAAATTAGAAAAAAAGAATTCTTAAGGTCAAGATCTAGTAAATAACTTGAGACTAATTTTTTGGTGCTAGATCCATTATGACGCCATAATCAATTTCAACTTTCTTTTTTCCCGTACTTTACGGCACTAGCAGAATTATGTAGAAAATAGGGTATTTTCATGTCATTCAATTTGAAATCATAAGAAAAGTAAACCGGGTACCTATATTAAATTTGATACTGATTTAAAGAAGAGGCCATGAACGTACTAATTACCGTTTTCTGAGAGACTGTAGGCAATCTGGATACATTTCCTTTGCCGAATACGAAAAAAACTCCCATATTCATGGCTATATTTCCTAATTTTTCATTGAAAATGACAGTTTAAACTACAGTTTTTTATCTTGTTTACCTACACATTATGCCCCGAAACACCTTATTTGACCAATCTAAAGTTGTAAAGCATCAATAAAGGAATTTATTTCTCAAGTTTGGTAAATCTGTAGGCACCTTTCGTTTACTAGATCTTGACCTTAAAGTGAAGGTAATTTCTGGAGTTTAGCATTTAAATGTGACGTTTTTGCCGTCAAATTCAATTGTGACATATACCTACATGTAGTGCATATATGTGAAACAGCAATTATTACTAAAAATTAAGACACCGCAAGTTAAATTTCTGTCTAGAGATCTTTTCCTTAATAATATGGCAACATTTTGTAGAATTTAAAATAATTTTTAACATACATTTTTCACCCAGCATTACGAAATTTACCATTTTACGAATCTTAAAAACCTTGTGACATTGAAACCCCAAACTTTGTGACACACCATCTTATTCAACATCCTCACAATAAATCGGCTTAATATAAGAAATCCAACATACATATCAACCCAAAATAACAGTCTTTTATAAAATATAGTTCTCAACACACAAAAAGGATTATCGAGATGTAATTTAAAAATAGATTTAGCTCATGTAATTAGTATTCTAAGTAACTAAAGACTTTTTATGTGTATCCCATATTTCGTCGATTAACGCGCGTCTACACATCTGTCTTGGATTTTGAGCAACGCGTTCAGAGCATACAGATTGAATGACATTACAATTCTAAATCTTTACATCATTTGCATCACATTTTGAATTTTTCTGCCAAATTTTATGTTTGTATTGTTTGTTTTTAGGAAGTTATCAACATTTTGTAATTGCGTGTGCGACGCCCCTGTTACCGATCTACACGCGTTTTTCACGTAATTGATGGAAAAGTCAAATTAATATCTTTAACAAATGGAATTTTTTTTATCAATATTTTTGTTAAAAAGTATTAAGTATATAATTACCGATCAAATGATATATAGTTTTCATATAGGGAATTGTTTTAAAATTATGAAAATAGCGCAAATGCCGCCGCAACTGTAATTTTTAACTTTTTGACACCAATACCGTGCGCGACGTCACTTGAATTCTAATAAAATGAAGACAACGGTTATTCTTCGAAATGTCAGTGAAAATTCTTTTTAAAAATAATTTAACTGGTCTATTTTAGGACACGATGTGTTACTTATCATCCAACTTGTAAAACCGCGTGCATTTGTAATGATACCTACATAGTTTTTTTTTTTGTACGTCGAGATATATCTCATAAAAAATTTAAACGCCTACGATTGTTTCGGTATAATAAAACAGATATGGAATGTGAACTCGGGAAATAGCAAATTTATGGTTCCTCTTGGCAGTAAAACTATTTCTTACTTTGCCGCCTAGGGAAATAGATCCCTCTCTCGGGGAACCATAAATTTGCTATTTCCCTCGTACCCATTCCATAACTCTATAATGTTCCATCAGCAACAATGAGATATTTTCACGATCCTTTTTTTCAGCCAGAAGAAAATACAAAGACCAAAACAATGTAGAAAGTAATTCTGAAAAGTTGGATTCAAAGACCCTGACATTCTTTGACTTCGGAGGCCAGGCTGCGTACTACGCCTGTCACCAGATTTACCTGACCGGGAGAGCGTTCTATGTTGTGGTGGTGGACTCCTCTAAACGTCTTGACCAAAAGGTGGATGAGAAAGTGTGTGATCAAGATGGTAGCGTGTTCTCTGGTTGGACCTATGGAGGTAAAACTATTATATATCATCAGCATATACTTTGTATTTTTCCTTACAGTCAAGAAATTTTCAAGCGTATTTTTATCATTCATAAGCATACAAACAGTCATATTTTTTCAAGAGAAAGATACGCACAGACAGTCAGAGAGGAAACACTATTTAAAATCCGACGTTTTAGATCTGCATAATATACATGTACACTCAGCACTATTATGATAAAAAAAAAAAAAACATGAACCAATTCTTTAAAAACAAGTAATGTACGCTCGCCCTGTAAATACTACTCTGCTTCGTTATTATTTTCTCTGTAGTTTTGGCAACCATAGCCAAATCAGAATTTCTCCGACCCTCTGTCTGAAATAATCTGCCTCTGATTCCCGTTACAAGTTAGATAGTACTGATGTATTTCCAATGATATAGTTTCAAAATATAACCAGGACTGATCTTCGTCAGATGCCCGCTTTTCTTTTAAATTTCTTTCTTTGATTTGTTGAATTTAATTCATACCAAATATCCTTCATCTGTCAAATTATCGGCGTAATAATTTTACATACTATCTTTCAGCGAATTTTACACAATGGATTCCAATTTTAAAATTAATTCTTTTCTGATGCAAGTAACTCAACAATTAGAGAATGATTTGATTCTGATCATTGGAATATTGACATTTATTTTTTAGACTACTTTGTATTCTGGTTGAAGTCTATACATACTTACTGTGGCTCCGACAATGAAAACGACCAAAAGCCTGTAGTACTTATAGTAGCAACCCATTGGGAAGAAGGACTCAGACAGTTTAAGGTGAGCAAACTGAAGAAAGCTATCATATTTGAATTCGATATTTTCGGACTTTATCAATCAAGTCAGATTTAATTATTCAGTGGATAACAGAGTTGCTTTCAACAGAAATAACAGTAATCCTTTGTTATTTTGCAATTATTGTGCTAACAGCTCTAAATCGTACTACTTATTCTCAAAGCTCTAAATTGTACTACTTATATGGCTTTTATAATCGGAGAAATTTTGGAAAACTATGAGATAACATTAATGGGCGGCCGTAAACTTTCGTCAAAGTAGACCAGAAATAATCATTCATATACGTATTAGCAGGAACCAGATTTTATTATTACAGGACAAGAATGAACTTATGGACAGTCTGCGAGATCAGCTTCCTAAGCCATCTAATTTATCACAGTACATCAGATATGATAGATTTCATTGTATACAGCTATCTGTACCACTTCATAATTTAGAAAGAAGCTTTTACGAAATTGCCTGTGATCAGCAATGGAAAGAAAGTATTCCGAAAGAATGGTTTTTCTTTCAAATAGAAATCAACCAGAAGAAACATTATAAGCGAATTTTGAAAGTCTCTGAAATAACAACAGATCTTCCTGAGTCTACTGCTGATTCTCAGAAAGGTTTAAATGAAATATCAAAAGGAAAACTAGATATGCTACGATACTACCATGATGCCGGGAAAGTTCTATACTTTGATGAAAATGGTCTGAATGAAGGTTTGATTATTGATATCCAGTGGTTTATTGACGCCTTTAAACATATCATCAAAGACAGACTACATTTTACTGGTATTCCTGGAAACGAAGAGGATTGGGACGAATATTATAAAAGTGGATATTTGCGGAACACCCTTCTTATAAAAATATGGAAGAGCAAGGATGATAAACTGTGCGAAATGTTAAAGAAAGAGAATGAGAAATACAAAATTAAAATGGGCTCTTTTAGATTTGACGCAAGATACCTGAAATATCATCAGGAATCGCTTCTAAATTTTATGCAAAGACTGGGTTTACTGGTTGTTGGTGAGGAATCCCACTATGTTCCCTGCATGAACCGGAAGGAGATGGAGCCAGCTGTCCCAGATCTTATTCGTCGATCGGAAAGTAAATCATCTGTTCTCGTTTATCAGTTTACATTTCTACCCTTTTTCTTCTTCTTTCGTCTTGTCGTTGCTTGTATGCAAGAGGAAAATTGGAAAGTTCTTAAAACGCATGGCACACCAAGCCTCTACAAAGACGCGGCTTTGTTTTTAGTTGAGGGATACACTGTTGTTTTGTCCGTTACAAAGGAATCTATACAACTTCAAATAGTTCATCCTAAGAAAGGCTGTATTTTGGAATTGGATAATTATAAAACTCAAGAAATTCAAGAAAGGGTAGAAAATATACTGTATGATTTTGCAGGAAAATTTCACAGAAAGCTGTTGTTTACACGAGGGTTTAGGTGTCGCGTGGATGATAAAAATTTAATTGCCATGGATATCAATGGTCATTTCCTTTCAGAGGAAGACATTCAAAAAGATGATGGAGAAATGATTTGTCCTTTGCATACAGTTATTGATCAGCATTCTATCAATACAAAAGAGCTGAAGAGATATTGGAAAATATAGATGGATGCAAAAATAATTACAATAAAATCATTCTATCTGTGTCAATTTTTGGACGGAATGAGTTCATTGTTGTTGTAAATATCATAATTACACGTATTTTTTCCTATTCTTTGGAGTCACCTTAAGCTTTGGTCATGGTCAAGTTGCTGTCAATTTTTTCTTAATATAGATCTATAATCTCAGAGATAAATTTTTTTTTCAAGATAGTGCAAAATAATATGCCATTCAAGAACTTCAGATTTATTAAATTTGGAATCAGAAGATAAAGTGACAAAACCTTACCGGCAAATTGTTAGATTCAGTTAATTATAGACCCTTGTATAACTTTCAGAACTAAAATGTCCACTTCTTAATACTCTCTACGTCTTTTAACTTGTGTCGTTTACTGATTTTTATTTGAAAATTAAAATAAGTACATGACTGTAGTCGTGCACTTATTTTAATTTTCAAATAAAAATCAGTAAACGACACTTCCATGTATATCAGTACTTAATAAAATATTTTGTATGGAGTTTCTGTTGGTGTCCATCTATTAGGTAGTTGTATATATAATGTGTGTTTTATGGTTGTAAGCAACATAACATTATAGTCTGGTTGTTAGATTGCTGTGGTTTTATAAAAATTTGTGCAAGAAGACACTCAATAAATGACAATATACGAGGAAATGCAAATCGACGACAAAGACAGTGTTTGCTTAACTTACAACGGAAGAAAATTGTTTTCGTAAAAATATAGATACAACAGGGATCCAAATCAATGAAAGTAGGATTTTTTAAAAAATCTTCTAAATCTACGACTAGTTAGAAAATAATACGTAGTCTTCCTTAGTCAGTTTAGTATCAAGTGTGTACAAATCTGGTCTTCAAGATATAGAACTAGTTTCTGGGGTTTTTTTCTTTACCAGTTTGCCTAGGTGAACGATATGGCCCATGTGTCTCAGATTGTAAATTTGAAAACAAAGGTTTATTCGGAAAATTATAATTCATAGTAATACTAATAGTTACGTCCCTCCTGAAGGCACATTCTAGAATTTTTAATTTGTAAATTTCTCATCAAAAAAGTTTTTTTGTCAAACTTAACAATTTAGTTTTCACATTTTTTTTCAGTAAATAATGCACTGTATGAATATATATTAAATATTATGTAAAGAAAGGATAGTTAAACTTTTTTATTAGCATCTTCTCATTCATTTAAAAAAATGAACGATGCATCTTTTTTATTAATTGTTGATGTTTTTTAAAGCAATGGTATGTCTAGGCGGCGCATGCGCAACCTCGAAGATAACGTATTTTCTACCTAAGTGTAACTGAGAAAAAAAAACTTGTTTTTATTAGCATTTGACATGTCATCCAAAAATGTCGTTAATTTAACCATGTGGTATTACAATATTACATGTATATCGTAAGATTTTAGCCCCATTATGTAAGTTCTATGAAATTATATAAACAATTTGTAATAAATATCCAAACAATTTATAAGTTGTAATGACGTCAGAAAGCGGGTGGGTTTCCTTTTCTATCATGCTTTAAAGTTTGACCCCCTGGAAAACTGATATAAACCCAAAGAAATATTTAAATTGGCCATTGAAAAAGAAAACGCTTTCAAAGTACTTGTTTTTAAATACCGAAAAAGGTTAGAGAGACAAGAATTAATTTATACATGTATTTAAAAGTTAATGTCAATTTGTAATATTGTTCAACGTTTGTCACGTAGAAAAGTGACGTTGATCATATGCAGTACCAAAAGTTTTTTTTCCCCCTAAGTCCACCACTTTTCCCATTTTAAACCTATACTGCAACGTGTCTGTAGAAAGGGGGTGGGTGTATGGGGCTAAACCTAAGAAGCAATGTTCAATATGTCTATACTAAGTTTATCTTTAAGGGGGATATGTGCAATTGGGCTCAGACCCCCCCCCCCCCCCCCCACCGCTTCCGACGTGGTTATAATTGAGTAAACAATTAACATTATAGAAAGTCCTCTGCAAGGCTTTAATCCCTAAACAATTAAAGGACTATATTGGTTTTGAACAATAAAATATAAACATGGACACTTACTTAATTTTTCACGTGAACAATAGGTGACCTGAAAACCAATTTCAAAAAAGATGAAAAGGTGCCAATTATTTCCAAAGTCAATTATGAAATTCTAAAAATCCAAGTAAAAAGAGAGTTAATTAATGTACATATTTCAGCTCTACCAAAAGCAGAAAATTTATTTATTAAAATTCACTTTAAAAAACAATTTATGAATGTTAAACTATCTTTTTATCATTTTTATTATCATTATTTTATTTTTTTTGAGTAATCAAAATAATAGAGCTCTGTAAATCTTAATTCTAAATTATATTGGAAAACACTGTTTTCCTCATGACATAGTGATACAAATATATCATGTGTACAGTGACTTCGATATAGATGAACCTAACCTTCCATATTAATGGTACATGTACCTCTTACGTAACTTCATAAAAATTTTTCTAATAAATTCATTGACTTGTTTATACCTGTATTGTTTTCATATTATACAAAGAAAATTGTTTTCACACTGATCATACGGTTTTTACATGTCAGACATGAATTCCGGAATTAATCATTCTCTCCAGATCGGCCCTTCAATTCTTATGCCTTTGTCACTTCTTGTGCTTATGCAACCGCGATTTTTGAGTCTCTGGAGCGTTCTTCTAACCATTCAAGGCCCAGCTCAAAGTTTTACAGGTAATTATAATGTAGGATTTTTATGTTGAAAGGGTGTTATATATTGTGGAGGAAACATCCAATAAAAAAAATCATCAATAAAGAAGCAATTTATATTTTAACTAGAGCATTTTGTGTGGCTTCTTACACAGCTGTAATTTTACATAATGGGCGTGCTTGATTTGTAGCTTGTTTAAATTTAATATTGTTCTCAAAATATTATTCAAATCATGTTAGTTGTCAAGTTCACCTACGGGCTGCACACAGCAAACACCATGATATTCTGTTCTTCACAGCATTCACTAGCTGCAGATCTGTAGCTCTCCGAAAATATATATTGATAGACTGGAGAGAACTGGAAAAACCCGAAACCCCCCGATTTTTGGAGAATACCCATACAGGAGGGGTGAAACCCCAATAAAGTGGTGGAAACCCCATAAAATTGAATGTAATGGGGTACTATAAGGCCTAAGATGATGTTTAATTGAATGATATTAACATCCGTAAATTTTTATAGCCAATTTTACCTCAGAATCGACGGGTTTCTTCTTGTCTTGATATACTGCACACCACGCCCGATCTAAATTCGCGATCGCTGAAGTCGTTTCGAGTAATCCGTGGAAATAATTACTGTAATCTTGATCAATATGAATATTATAATATTATGTATGAATATTATTTTTAAAAATAAATATTTGTAAGGAAACCTTAAGAATATAAAAGAAGTATGAAATATTTATCATGTTGAAAGACATTACAGTTGAATGTTTAATTGAATTTTTTTAAATGAATTTAACTAGTCCATTAATCAAGAAATAAAGTCATTTTTATAAATTCCAATCATTTATAATATGTAATTAAATTAAATTAAATTAATTAATGAATGAATCTGTTAATGTAATTATTATAATGAAAAACGTTACAGTGAAATTTTTAATTGAATGGGTTTTTTTTTTATGAATTTAACTAGTCCATTAATCAAGGAATAAAGTAATTTTTCTCAATTCCAATCATTTATAACATGTAATTAAATTAAATTAACTAATGAATGAATTAGTTAATTTATTTAATTTTTAATTAAGGTGTTTGCTTTGAAATGTTTTCTTCTATGTTTAATAATTAATTTTTAAATTCAGTATTCATTCATTATTATTTTCCAGTTACTATTTTTTTTTTGTTTTAATGCTTTTGGTTCTGTTTTTTGGGAGAGTGTGTTGTTTTTGTTTTGTTTTGTTTTTTGTTGTTTTTTTTTTGTTTGTTTTTTATGCATGTAATAGAAAAAAATATACTCATTGATATGAGAAAGCAACATGTATTTATTACAATGAAATTTATTAGAATCCAGGTCTATGAAATAAAAAAGTCTGATAAAAAATAATAAAAATGTGCATGTTGCATATGTGAATCCTTGTACAGTTGGTATTGTAACATTATTGTGAGAATATTATTCAGACCTCAGCTAGCTCTGTTATTTTGTACTGGGATAGACAGGCACCCCTGTGTGTGTACATGCACTATATACACAGCTGTTGACACTTGGTCAACTTGATAATAAACACCTTTTGTTTAAACACCTGGGTTCCCAGCTAGTCTGACCAACCCCCCTCTGACAGGGCATGTGTATATACATTGAACCTTTACTATTCTCAATTGTACAGTTGTGCTTTACAGAATTTCATTTTAAGGCCGTTGGCACACACATAAGGAAAATATGAATTTTGATAATTCATGACAAATTAATAAATAAAGACCTTTTAAATTAGTAATACCTGAAAATAGTCATAGTTTCCTTATGTTCCCAGCTCTAGCCAGGTGGAGGCCTCCTTAAGTGTAGAGCCATGATTTGAATTTTAAAACAAAAATATTAAAACCAAAGGACTGAAAGATGACTGAAAGATGACCGAAAGATAAAAAATAAAAAAAAAACTGTAAAAAGATTTTTAAAAAACTTAAAGATACTGGATCATTATTCCTATAGTCAATCTTTTGTTCATATATAAAAATATTACTGTACAGCCAATGAAAGTAATATACATGAAATAAAATAACATAATGAAAATTTTAGAGAAAGGAATTTATAATTTGATAGCAACATTTAAAAAAACAATAACATTCCTAACCTAACCTAACCTAACACAACACCAAACAGTATTCACTGGTCTGCACCCGTCTGGCGGGGGAGGAATACTGCCTGATATAACTAATCCTACTCTAATCATGTGTCAGAATTAGTGAACAGTGTAGCAAATAGTTCTGTGAATTTTAAGTTGCCAAATGATTATTGCGTTAAATTTTTCAGTGACAAAGATACTACAACAAAAAGCTTTATTTTAGTCAAGCTTTATTTATACTAATAATAGTCAATCTTTTGGAAGAGCAGTTGAATTTTGTCCAACAAAAGTGTTTCTACAAGTGGGAGAAAAAGATATAAATTCATCTTCTGTGTCAGAAATAGTGTTAGGAATCCAAAACATTATTGAAAAACTGTTAAGAAATGATTCGGTTCAAAAAATATTTATTGGAAGTCTGTTTAGGCAAATGATTTGTTGTACTTTGATCCAGGAAAGTACAATTCTACGGTTTTTGATATAAATAACACACTCCGGAGGAAATATGGAAATTCTCAGAATGTGATATTTTGGAGATGTAGGGGTTTAATGAATTCTAATGAAAACATTTGGCATGTCAATATGGGATTAGTTTGAACAGAGAGGCAATGGAAATTTTTAGTCGACAGATTCAGCTTGCAATGAAATGTAAAATTACATAAAATACCTGTGCTTGGAGATGATCAAATAATTTCAGTTATCTTTCAACCAGTTCAGACAGACATTTTTCATAGTTAAAATTCCATCAAAACTTGAGTTCTTTTATTTTGTTGTGTGATTTTTTTTTTCTTCTGTTTTTTTATTCTTTTATTTCATATTTGTTGTAATTTAAAGACAATTCAAAATGTAAACAACTGGTGTAAAATATTTTTTTTTCTAAGAAAAGAACATAAAAAAGTCACTTTGAAATAAAATATCTATATATTTGAAAATTGATATATTATTTTAATTTACTATTTATTTCAGGTATCAGTATTTTCATCTTTTGACATTGATTTATTTTTTGTTCTCTTTGTAACATATAAGTAATTATTATTTTTATTTTTAATTATTATTCTTGCTTTGAACCTTTGAATTTCAAATTTTTATATCCTTACATTCAGAATTTGTCTATAATCTCAAAAATAAATTCAGTATTTTCATATTTTGAATTTTATTTATTTTTTTTTTGTTCTCTTTGTAACAAATAAGTAATGAATTATCTTTACTATTTTTTTTTTTTGTTAATGTTGCTTTGAAGCTTTTGGATATTTTCATATCTCTAAATTCAGATTTTCTCTAAAATATCCTAAATGAATTTTTTTTTTAATTATGGCTCTACAAAAAGGAGGCCTCCACATGGCTAGAGCTGGTAACATTTGGATAATATGAATAATAATTAATACACAAATTCATTTTTTCTTAATGGCTAACGTCCTTACATTTTTTGTTAAATACTTATTACATAATTAATATTTTACTATTATCATATTAAAACAAATAAAATTGTGGAAATTATTATGAATTATTTTAATATTATCTATACAATATTATATTGACAAACAGCTCGCTTCGAATTTAGATCGGGTGTGGTGTACGGTAAACTCCTAATGGCGCCCGATTTCCGTCGATTCTGAGGTAAAATCGGCTATAAAAATTTACGGATGTCAATATCATTCAATTGAACATCACCTTAGGCCTTATTGTATCCCATTACGTTCAATTTTATGGGGTTTCCACCACTTTATCGGGGTTTCACCCCTTCTGTATGGGTATTCTCCAAAAATGGGGGGGGGTTTCGGGTTTTTCCAGTCACCCACTGGAGAGCTACAGAGCCACCCATTGAAAAAAACTGTATATTTATTGCGCAGTAAAAAGTGTGCTTTGTTTTCGATTTATTTCTCCATGTTTTTAAAACTGTAATCTCTAAACATTACTAATCGTGTGGTGTTCCTAACATATTCTTTCCACAACCAAACATTTCTCAAAGTTGTTGTTTATAGTCCTCCTGACCCTGCTATTGTAATCATCAAACATTTCGCTGATCTATACGCCATTTTGGTTTCAAAGATAATTCGGTCCTATATGCTTCGTTCTGATGTCAACAACGAGAGTACTTGATTGAGGATAAAGGGATTTTTTGAAATCTTGCCTTTTTTGCAATTGAGGTAAGAAATTGGAGAATTAATTAAAAAAAACCGAGTGCACTTTTTTGTGCGCAATAAATATACAGTTTTTTCAATGGGTGGCACTGTAGCTCTCCGGTCTATCAATATATTTTTTCAGAGAGCTGCAGATCTGCAGCTAAGCATTTACTCACACTTTCATCCTCCATTGCGTCTTACAATAAATCATCCAATAAGAAGAAATTCTTTATTTGTTGAGCTGCAGCCATATTGTGAATGAATTCCAATTCGAGTTTTACATGATTGTTAGAATTTTTGGAACTCTCAGAATTGAAATCTGACTTTACAATAAAGCACACCCAATATCATTACAGTACCTCGTAAATTAGTTATCAACACACTGTTATCTTTGTATGTGTTTCACTTAATTTACTTTTGCCTACACATCCATGTGATGATAAACATGTATAATTAGGAACTAGTTTAGTATTTTCATTTTTGTTCTAAATGAGTAAATCTCAGCGAGAGAGTCCCTACGACATCTATTATATTTTATATTTGTGTATTTTATATCTATTTCATTTGTCTGTGATATGATAATATTTCTTACAGTCCCTTTTTTTTTAATAAAGCAGTAAACATGCCCAAAAGAAAGGCGTCTTCAGATGATGGGAAGTCACAGAGTAAAGTCTCCAAGAAAAAGAAATCAATAGCAGATGATGAAGAAGACACTAAAGGCAGCAAGCAGAAAAAATCCTACCCAAAACTAGTGGACCCAGCAACAAACAAAGAAACTGTAAGTGGTGTGGTATCTGGTCTGTTCGTCCTATCTTCCTGTTCGCATGAGTCTGTTTTGCCATACATGTAATATACAATCAAGTAGCGTAAAGATAAAGTAGAATATTTTCCCCTAATTTACAATTACTGACGTGTATGATATTAAAGCAAAATCTTATCAATTTTATTTTAGTAATTAAATTAATAAATTCTTTGTATTGTATTTTTGAAAACAAGAAATTAAAAGAAAAAAGTTTCTCTGTTTTTCTTCGTATAACATATTGTAAATGTTGTCTGGTAAATGATTACATAAGAATTAAAATGCATCACATAAATGCAGTTTCATATTTCACATACAGTGTGCAACTATTAAATAAATAGGCATTTTGTACTGTACAATATTCTAATCTTAAAACCATGTCAGTTACATATTGTCTTATTTTATTATGATACGGAAAAAAAGACATTTCAATTTATACTATATAGATATATTAATTAGATAAATTGTTTTTTTTATCAATAGACAGGAGAAATTAAATACACAGCAAAGGAGCCCACACGGAACAAGAAAGGAGAACTCGTGTTTCCAGACTTCCCAGAATTCCGTCCAAATATGACACCCAAAGAAGTTCTGCAGGCTGGCAGTTTTGGCGGAACTTACTTCCGTCCAATCAAATCATCTGTTACAGGTGAGAGATATTTTAAGTTTTGTTTAATATCGTTAAAATAATATCACAATAAACATAATTTTATCGATTATGTTAAAACTGAACAAAGTATTACAATCTACAAGCTGTGTTCTATACTTGTAAAGAAAAAAAAGCTGTGTTCTATAATACATGTACATGTAAATTATAAAAGTTTGGCTTTGTAAGTGAAAAATTATTTGGGAAAAGTAAATTGCATCTAGACAGTAGTCTAGACTTAAATACGGTCATCAAAATACGTTTGAACAGACACAGCTCTTAGATTCTCTTCAGATTCTTTGATTCAAGGTGTTAAAATGTACCCAACAGTCTATCCTGAATAAGTTAGATTTGGTGCCATAATGCATAATTGCTAATGATGAAAAGAAAAATTAATAAAACTAATTTTTGTCACACTGAGACTTAAAACACTCTATACAACAAGGAATGGCAACAAAAATGGGCCAAAAGTCCACTTGAAACATGCAGGTCCATGACTTGACTTTGTCTTACTTCAGGTAAACAGTATAAAGATGAAGCCTTCAAAGAACTCCCCACAGACTGGACTGAGGGTCTTAACATCAAAAAACAGGTAAATGAATACAAACTGCAATGTACTGTAATACCCTTATGACCATAGGAAATAATATTTTGTGAATTTGATAATTCAAAAGTAAATGCTGGAAAATAGAATATAGCTTAGACATGTTTGAGGAAAATAAAAAAAAATGTTTTTACTGTCTTTTATATATAAAGAACTGAAAGAACATACATGTTGTTTTGATATTGTGCATGTACATGTATTTGTACTATGTATTATGTATCAAATTGCTTATATTGATTTATAGATATATTTGTAAACTGTAAGTCTCCATAAGTCATCAAGTTATTAGTATTTTTGTGACAGGTTACCTCCTCAAACTACAATGAGTCAGTAAATACATACAAAGTGAAGTGTGGAGGGAGCCTGGAGATGTGGGAGGAGAGTGGGTGGATCCACAAACAAGACCCCTACGGCTGGTTCCAATGGTTCTGCAGGTAAATATAAATTAATCTGTAAACTCAGGTGGTTCCAGTGTTTCTGCAGGTAAATAAAAATGTCAAATAGACCTGAACAGGTGTTTCCAGCAGTACTGCAGAGAAATATAAATTAATCTGTTGAGATGGGTCCAGTTGTACTGTACGTAGGTATGAAATGACTCGTATAGGTGGCTCTAGTGGCACACCATTAAAATACCGTATAAGTAGAATTTTTAGCGAGGATTTAATTTTGGCATTATTAGCGGGGGGGTCGAGATCGCTAAATTTGGGTATCGCTAAAAATTAATTGCGTTTTATATGTAGTAGTTTCTTTGATGTGCATTTTAAAATCGCTAAAATAACATCTCGCTAAAAATAAATTACCAGTTTTTAAGGACAAATCGCTAAATTTTCGTCTCGCTAAAATTTCCACTTATACGGTATACAATGATTTTCCACAAATAAACAAAACTTCTCTCAGTTTTTGACAAGATATGATCCGTGAATGAAATGTAGATTTCTGCTTTTGCTTATAAGAATTTTGAATTTTTAACAATAATTACTACTTTTGAGGAGGTGGGCAAAATTGCAGGTTTTTTTTCAGATTTAGAGATAGAAACACTCAAATCAATAAATAAAACAAGTTCTAGCTAGTGCTATTAAACAGACTAATTTCACTGTAGATTCTGTCGAGGAAGGAGGACCCCTGATGATGAGCGACAGGTTGGGAGATGGTTGAGGTGTGCAGGACCAACAGGAAGGTGGAAAAACAACCTCATCTCCAAGTGTTACCGCAGCGGGGCCCGATTCAATGACCCCAACATATCCCCGGTGGTCAGACAGACCCTACAACACTGGGGGTACAGGCTAACTGAGGAGGACTACCTGGCTAAGGAGAAACAGCTCAAGAGAAAGAAAGTTTGATAGGAGTGAGAAGATATATAAGCATGGTAAAAGATGGTGGTTTACAGTGTTTTGCAGAAAAAAGTCAGAGGCCAAATAGCTTTGATCAATTCAAAGAGCATGATAGTCCTGAATTTGAAACTTGGACAGGGATACGTACAGATTGACCGGAAAGTTTCTAGAAAGCTTACAAACAATTCTGTACTATTATTAGATCGAACCGAGTTCCATACAGTATTTTTGTTGTGAAAAAAGTAGGCCTATGTTTTTTGTGATATTGAAGGATGTGGATAACTGTGGATATAGACCAAATTCCATTTAATACCTTACTTTGAAAGTTTTATTGACACTTCTCATAGATTCATTTCTGTGAAAGTGAATGTAAAGTCTAGTTGTTTTTTAAACTTTGAATGTACATGAAGTATGTAGTTTTTTTTTATTATTTCTATGTAACTCATAATCTGTGAGAATGTTCTGCTTGAAAAGCTTAAAAACAAGAATTCATTTTTGTTTTGAAGCATACACTACTGTGCAGTGTATTTTACATTTTTAAAGATGAATGATTTTAAAGTGTCATAACTTTGTTTTACTTTGAATATTTAGTATTTTTATTAGCATAATTGTTATGTTTGTAAAACAACATAACCTCAAAATTGTCATTTATTAATAACATTCATATACATGTATGTTGAATAAATATTCACTGCCACTTTTTAGGTCACCTGAGTAAACTCAGGTGATCTATTGCTATCCGTTTTTGTCCGTCGTCGTCCGTCGTGCGTTGTGCGTCGTGCGTCGTGCGTTAACATTTAAACATTTTCAGCTTCTTCTCTAAAACCACTGAACCAATTTCAACCAAATTTGGCATATAGCATCTATGGGTGAAGGGGAACAAAAAATGTGAATTTCATGGTCCCCGCCCCCCTGGGGCCTGGGGGGTGGGGCAAAAACCACTAAAAATAGTGCAATCTTTAAAAATCTTCTTCTTTACTCCCGGACATCAAGCAGTCAAACTGTTGGTATGATTGTAATCAGCATTGAGTCCTCTACCAAAATTGTGAAATTCATGGCCCCAGGGTCAGGGGTTCTGGTGTTAGGGCGGGGCTCTATTGATTATATAGTGAAAATGCAGTAAGTCTTTAAAAATCTTCTTCTCTGCTCCTGGGTATTAAATAAACAAATTAAGTTCATAGTTATGATGAGCAAGAGTGGCTCTACCAAATTTGTGAATTTTATGGCCCCAGGGTCAGGGGTTCTGGTGTTAGGGCGGGGCTCTATTGATTATATAGTGCAAATGCATTATTTCTTTGAAAATCTTCTTCTCTGTTCCTGAGTATTAAATAAACTAATTAAGCACATAGTTATGATGAGCAAGAGTGTCTCTTCATAAATTGTGAATTTTATGGCCCCAGGGTCAGGGGTTCTGGTGTTAGGGCGGGGCTCTATATTGATTATATAATAAAAATGCACTAAATCTTTGAAAATCTTCTTCTCTGCTCCTAGGTATTAAATACACTAATTCAGTAAATAATTATGATGAGCAAAAGTGCCTCTACCAAAATTTTGAAACTCATGGCCCCAGGGTCAGGGGTTCTGGTGTTAGGGCGGGGCTCTATTGATTATATAGTGAATATGCATTAAATCTTTGAAAATCTTCTTCTCTGCTCCTAGGTTTTAAATAAACTAACTAAGTACATAGTTATGATGAGCAAGAGTGCCTCTTCCAAAATTGTGAATGCCTTAGCATCTAGCTTAAAACATGAAACAAATTCAATCTTTTGAAAGTTGTTGCATGATGCTCAGGTGACCTATAAGGCCCGTGGGCCTCTTGTATAATTTTTAATGAATATTTGCTTTAAATGTATTCATCTGATGCAGAATAAATAAAAAAACTTCTACATGAAAAGAAGGCTCTTGCCTTGGTTTTTAATTTGAGGCCAAAATAATTTTCAGTTTCTAAGGTCCAAAAAAGTTCAAAATTCAATGAGGCAGACATGCAGGTTTTACTTTTTTATGTAGGATATCCATCAATTATCAAATTACTGATATCAAATGATTCTTATCTTTATTTACAAACTTAAAAATACATGTATTGTTATTCCATCTATTGGGAAAAAATACCATATATTGATCATAAGCATAGAAATCATGCATGAAAAGGAGATATTTTCTATTTTAGTACATGCAAAAATTGAGATGTTCATATATTTTACAATAGAAAATTGAGTTATTTCCCTTTCAATACGTCAACATTGATCACGATTTAAAGGTACTTGGACACAGATTTGAAGTTATTATTTTCTCTATAATATTACGACTTATATATATCTCTATATCATTTCACACAAAAATTAATTAAAAATCTTTCTTCATATAAAAGATATTTAAATTTCAAATTTTTTGGCCAGTTTGATTGACACATCCTTGCACTTTCACAAATTAATTTTATTCTTAATCCTTAGGAAAAGTGGCAATCTGGTTTTGTATGAATGAAAAATATTGTCACAGCTGCACTATAGTTGTTACTTCATATAAATAACAGAACAGCTGCTGTGGGTTCATTTGTATATCTGTATATCAGTTACTTTGATGAATATTATAAGAAGAATAACAAGTAATAGAAGGTGACCTGTAAAATAAATGAATACACTCATACACTAGCTAACACTCACACATTTAATTCTTTTAGATTATTTAAACTGTTCTCTTTAATTAGATAATTAATAGATAGGGTATTTAATATAATCAGAGCAACGATGGTAAATTAATTCTTACTGAATAGACAGGTTTAATTTGTCTTCATTATAAAATGAAAGACTATATATCTGGAGAGGAGATATACTCTTCCTTCCTCCTGACTGTCTTAGGGTGGAGTGAGTTATTAAGGGTGTTTGGCGCCAAGCATGCGTATTGGGTACCAAACTAGTAAAACCACTCACACACTTCTCACACTGAAAAATCAACCAATCATACACCTTCAAACCACACCCATTCTGACACAGACACCTTTGACCTTTCACACTCTCAAACTAACCAATGAGCATTCAACCCCATGAATATCAATGAACGACTTTATGAATGACTGAACACATAGTAAATTCCAGAGTACTGTAATTCACTATGCTGTATAATAGATGAAAATGATGATGATGGTAATGAAATGATTAGTATATTAGGTCACAAATTATTAATGAATAAATTATATAGTATTTATTATAATATTAATTTATTCACCCTGTGACAATATGAATACTATAATCCAGAAATTTCAGAGTAGACATGTTCGAAATCAAAACAAACACACAATATATTATCAGTTCGTGCAGTTGTGGTAAGCAGACTGTGACGATTTAGAACGCACCCGATGAATTCTAAACATAAACAATAACAGAACTCGTGCCTTGTTTACAAAAAAAACTTTGTACATAACACGGGTATTCTCGATTTGCTAAACTCTGTACGGAACTCTTAACTCGCAGATCGGTATGACTATACTTGTGAAGGAGTATTGCTTTCTAATATTTCTACTCTGAATAGAATTTTTCATCTGGATAAAAGTTTTAATATTTATCATTAATACACAACAAGATTGTCACTTTTCCTAAGGATTGAGAATAATGTTAAAAAATTGTGAAAGTGCCAGGATGTGTCAATCAAACCCGCCAAAAAATTTGAAGTTTTAATAACTTAAAAATGAAATAAGATTTTTAATCCAAGTACCTTTAAAATTACTCAACGATGTTGATTTTCATTCCGTCTTTGATTAGACATAATTTATCCAAGTGAACTCGAACCAAAAAAGCCACAGCAGAGCCTAGCATACCTGTTTTCATAATAGCAAAGTAAACAAGAAAAGATGATGAAAAGCTGAAACCGTATTTCTGTTGTCAACTTCGCTTATTATATATGTTTGGTCATTATGTACCATTATCACCTGCATATAGAGATAATGTACTAATATTCCAGCTGATTGGATACGCAAAAGCCTGCTCTGCATACGAAAAGTTTCTAAAACAAGATATTGACAAATAAATTGACAATGACAAAACTATATATATGAAAAACCTTGTTTAAGTTAGCATATCGCAAATTCTATGATCGGTAGAATGACCCTGTTCGTTGAGTCGAGTGCTGACAAGCCATTTTCATAGAAATCAAATGATTACGTTGTTTTTTTCACACTGAATGGTCTAAAGAGATTCTGTTTTCGTGACAGGACCGGATTAGGACCAGATTAATGGGGCTATAGGTAGCCAGTTGACAGGGGTTGCTTTATCTATAGTACCTCATTCAAATAATGATGTTTTAGGGAGGGTCCGGGTTTGCTGTCCTCCCAGTTGACGTGCCTCCAATTTGTTTTGTTCCAATGTACTTTAGAGAAAAATAAGTGACGTAGTGAAAAAGGAGAGAAGAAAGAGAATTAACTGTAGGAAGTTAAGTGTCTTTTACGTCCTTAGGGAGGGTATCGAAAGACTTTAGAACAATAATAGATTATTATTATCAAGGTTTGACACAGAAAGAGGGACTTACAGTGGATGTAAAAAGAAAGCCTGGTTCTGCGAATCTTACAATGCTATTTCGTTGAATGTAAAGGCGGGGTGCAGGACTGCAGGAGCTCTCAAGCCTAGTCAGTGTGCATGGCAGTTGCAGACTTTTAGAATAGTGTCATCACTGTGGAGAGCTGTTGTACAAAATAAGACAAACACAGATTTGCACTGAAAGGAGAAGCCGAAGTGGCTCCCTTGAACCAAGAGAGAATCTTTGGCTACCCAAGTCAGATATGGACGGGATGTAAATTAAGGATTTATTGCTGATTAAACATTAGGTTAGGGTTATACACAAGTGTAGCTTTAATTAAGGGCATAAAATTAAAAATATTACACAAAGTGGATATTACAAGTGTGGCAGTACTTAAACATAATTTTCAACAAATGGATGTCAAAACATCGGTATGATAGGCCCGACGAAGATCGATATAGGTCCATTTTACATGAATGCATGGTCAAGTGCTAGACCTGTTCTCTATTTAAGGCTGCTGTTAATTTCTCGCCGCATGGAGTTGTATTTCGCAGCGAGCCTTATGTTATTTAGTAAAG